CATGATTACTCACGCATAACAATCCCACAGATTCTACAACAAAAAGCTACTAGAACTGATAACTGAATTTAACAACATCACAGGACACAAAAACCAACATACTTCTGTATACAAGCAGTGAAAATTGAAAGATGAAATTTAAGAAAACTATTATTTACAATAGTAACAAAAAGTATGACATACTTACATACAAATCTGACAAAATATGAATAACATCTGTACACTTGAAACTACAAAATGCTAATGAAAGAAATCAAAGAAGATATGCTGATTGGAAGACCATACTAAATGTTAGTTCTCCCCAAATTTATCTATACATTCATCACAATCCAAATTAAAATCCCCCCAGGCCTTCTGTAAGAAATCAACAAGCCGTCTCTAAAAGTTTTGTGGAAAACAAAGGATCTAGACTAGCCAAAACAATATTGAAAATGAATAAAGTTTGAGGACTTACATTTACATGATTTCAAGATTTATTATAAAGCAACAATAATACTACTGGCAAAAGAATAGGTACATAAATCAAGAGAACAGTCCAGAAACAGACTCACGTATATATTTAACCGATTTTCAACTAGGTTAATAAAACGAGGAAAGTATTCCCAACAAATGGTGCTATAAAAGTTGCATGTCCATTTGAAAATAAATAAATAAATTTTGATCCATACCACAAGCTATATACAAAAACTAACTCAAAATGGATGACACACCCTGATATAAAAGCCAAAACTATAAAACTTCTAGAAGTCAACACAAGAGAAAATCTGCACAATTTTGTTTTGGGCAAAGAGTTCTTAGCTACAACACAGAAACATAATCATTAAATAAATATTGATAAAGTAGATTTCATCAAAATGAAAAGCTACTGCTCTTTAACAAAGTTAGGAAAATGAAAAAGGCAAGCTTCAGATTGCAATATGTCAGTGTGTTTACATGTCTGTCAAAGGACTTACACAAAGAATATGTAAAGAATTCTTACAACTCAATGAGATCAGCAACACAAGTTTAAAAAATTAGCAAAGATTTGAACAAATACTTCACAAAGGAAGACATACAAATGGCACTGAAGTACGTGAGCAGATTCTCAGCATCTTTAGTCATTAGGTAATGCAAATTAAAATCACAGTGGGATACCACTACACACCCATTAGAAGAACAAAAATAAATAGACAATATCAAGCGTTGATGAGGATGCAGAGCAACTGGAACTGTCATGCACTGTTAGCAGATATGTAAAATGGTACAACCACATTGGAAAACTGTTACAGAGTGAAATGTATTCCTACCATACAAACCATACAGGAGCCCTGGTGGCGCAGCAGTTAAGAGCTACGCTTGCTAACTAAAAGGTCAGCAGTCCGAATCCACCAGCTGCTCCTTGGAAACCCTATGGGGCAGTCCTACTCTGTCCTATAGGTCACCGTGAGTTGGATCGACTTGATTGCAACAGGTTATCATACAAACCAATAGTTCCACTTCTAGGTATTCACCCAAGAGAAATGAAAGCATATATTCACACAATAAGCCATAAACAAATGTTCATAGCAGCTTTATTAATAAAAGCCCCAAACTAGAAACAACCCAAATATCCATAAATAGGTGAAACGGTCAACAACTTATACTAAATTAATACCATGGACTATTAGTTAAATACAACAAAACACAATGATAAAAACATCATGGTGGAAGAAAAAACCAGATGCAAAAGAATACATACTGCTAATTTCATTTATATGAAATCCTAGAACAAATGAAACTAATTTACAGAGACAGAAAAAAAAAAAAAGATGATAAGTGGTTTCCTGAGGCTGAGGGTGATGTGGGACTGACTGTAAAAAGGGCAGAAGGGAACTTTTGAGGATGATGGAAATATTCTATATCTTGCTTGTGATGATGAAAATATTTTACTTTCTGATCATGGTAGTGGTGATGATGTGTGTACACATTAGTCAAAACACAATGAACTGTATATTTTAAATGGGTGTATATTTCATTATCCTCAATAAAGTTGATTATTTTAAAAAGGTGCTTTCTTAGGAAAATATTAACCAGGTACTATTGGTGCTGTCTTCTATAACTACCTCAAAAGATGTCAGAAAACATCTAATAAAATTCAACACCCACTTGTGGTTTTAAAAATATCAACAGAAATGAAAAAACAATAAAATCCTCCTGGAAAGCCAACAACAGGAGATATTCTCACTTAGTATCAGTCAGAAAGCTTCCACAAACATTATAATTTATACTAAAACATTAGAAACATGCTCCTTAAAGTCAGAAATACACCAAGTTTCTAGTGATCACTGCTATTATGGAACACTGTACAGTAGTGTAACAGCCAAAGCAATGAGAGAGAAAAACAATTGATAAAAACTGAAAAGGAAACCACAAAACTGAGTATTTTCAAGTAAACATCAACTCAATAAGGTGATCAGAAGCACGATGAACAGAAAATTCAAAAGCTTTCCTATAACTAGAATAAAACAAAGAGAAAATGTTACTAAAAAGTTTACATCTACCACAGCAATCAAAACCATGAAACAGCTAAGAACATGAAGAGAAGAAATGTCAGATGTATACATACATATATGAAAACTATAAAACCTTCTCTAAGAACACAAAGACCTGACTAAAACAGAGACATACCACTTTTTATACAATAAAGGTAAGCTATCTCCAAAATATACTAAAATTTCAATATGACACCATTCAGAATCACCAAGGATTTTTTAAGGAGCCCTGGCAGCGCAGTGGTTAAGCACTTGGCCGCTAACCAAAAAGGTCAGCGGTTGGAATCCACCAGCCAGCCGCTTTGCAGGTGAAAGATGTGGCAGTGTGCTTCCGTAAAGAGTACAGTCTTGTAAACCCTATGGGGCAGTTCTACTCTGTTCTATAGGGTCGCTATGAGTCAGAATCAACTCGACGGTAAAGGGTAAGGATTTTTTATTTCACAAGTTGAGGCTGAAGTTCATCTGGAGGAAGAAATACATAAGAAACAGTCAAAAATATTTCTGAAAAAAGTATTGAGGGAGAAACTATCCAAGTTTAAAATATGTATAAACTTTAACCTACTAATTCCATTTCTAGGAATCCATGCTACAAAAATAATCACACATAGAGGGAGTTCACTAAATTGTTAACAGTGACTCGGATGAGATGAAGTTAACAGTTAACAGTGATTCTTGGGATGAAGGTAGGACTAGAAGGGGAAGTAGGAGTTGTACTTTTTACCTTATATTCTTCCAGACTACTTGAATTTTTTAAGTCAACCATAATTTTAAAGTTTGTAGTTAAAAAATCAATCAATAAATTAAAAACTTGGTTTCATAGAAAGCATTATTTGTGACAGCAAAAAAGCTGCAATTAATTTAAATGTCTGTCAATAAAGTGGAAATCCTGGTGCCACAGTGGTTAAGAGCTAGACAGCTAACCAAAAGGTCAGCAGTTCAAATCCACCAGGCACTCCTTGGAAACTCTATGGGGCAGTTCTACCCTGTCCTATAGGGTAGCTATGAGTTGGAATCGACTGGACAGCAACGGGTTTTTTTTGTTTTTGATCAATAAAGGAATGGTGAAATTAATGAAATACCACTTAACGTTTAAAAAATATTAGGTAGACCTATGTATTACAAAGAAAGTTCCCCAGATGGATAATTAAATGAAAAAGCAAATGATATGTTAATGTGTTTGGTACAACCCTCTCCCCGGCGTGTGCGTGTAAAAGTGCATTTGTAAAAGGATTTTAAAAGATGCATACTAAATTGTTAACTCTAGATACTGGTGCGGGACTAGGAGAAGAAGAAAAATTTTCATTTTATCTAACAGTCCTTTTAAAAATATTGTTTGAATTTTACACCAAGCTTGCATGCCTGTAATTAAGTAAAAAAATTAAAGTTATTTCATTTAAAAAAATCACATGAATTCCAGAAGACAAAGTCAAAAAAATAGTTTAATCGTTCATTTCCGTTATCTTCGAGTATATTTACATATTCTTCAAATGATCTGTAGTCTTCAGCAAAGGTGACTGCCATTTTAAAGAAATTTAACTGACCAATATTTCATGATAAAAATAAGATATATATGAAATCTTTAAAAATGTGTAACTTCACAGAACCAGAACAGATTCAAAGCAGTGTCTATACACATGTAAATATTTTTTTAATGCGTGGAGAGGGAAGTCTCCAAACAGATTATTCTTCCTCCCTGCAAAAAGACTATTACCTCCTCCCCTCTTCTTCCACTTGGTCTGAACTCACCATTTTGAATGTGCGCAAAATGATTACCAAACAGTAATCTCAGGGAGGCCAAAACTGAAGGTGGATATGCCAGAGGGGTGCTTTGATCTGACATCGCTAACAGGGAGAAGCAGTGATGGAATGGTGCTAATATGGGAAGAAGAACGATAGCTGTGGTTTGTACAGGGTATCTGCCTGCCCGAGTCTTGCTGACAACCGGGAAAAATGGAAATACACCCACCACAGCGACGATAACGGAAGGTTTTTCGGGGGAGGGGGGCTGCAGGCCTGTGGCGTAAAATGGATCAGCTCTATCCGGGATGACTGGAGATGGGCAGAGAATGCGGCTGTGAGGTGTTGGTGGGGACACACTCCTGGACAATCGCAAATGTAGGGAGAAAGGCTGTGGTGCGGGGTCCTTGGCCACAGCACCAAGGACAGCAGAAGAGGCACCAGGAAAAGGAGGGCGGCAGAGCCCCCTGATACCAATCGATGGCATCCTCGGGGGCGGCAGCAGGCGCAGCAGCCACGGATACGAGTGCGGCCCCAGGTCCAGGCTGGGCAAGGCCCAAGAGGCGAAGAAGGCCTCTCACAACCATCAACCCCACCCACCATGGCCGGCGCAGCGGACCAGGGACAGGCCCCGCTTCTTCTTGAGGGGAGAAAGCAACAAATCGAGGAACTGAAGTAGCAATTTCCTCGCCCCGACCCCTCGCACTCCCGACATCACAACAGGCCAGTTAAAAAAAAAAAAAATCCCCTCACCGAATGCGCAGCGGCTCCGGAGCGAGAACAGCGCTCGATCCTCCACCCGCCACCACCGCCTTCTTCTCCGCCTCCGACTCCTCCCCCGCGGAACGCGCAGGGGCAGGCGGCGGCAGCGACGGCGGAAGCCGAGGCGGCGGCGGCGGCGCGTCCCGCCCCTTGGGCCGCGCCAGAGGCGAAGGAGAGCCAGAAAGCTCCGCCCCAAAACAGATCTGACCAATAGTTTGAAAGGATTTCTACAGGAAAAATCTAAATATCCAATCACAACCTGAGGAGTGGGCGCACGTCAATAGTTGGGACGTGGCAGAAAAAGAGAAAAACACTTGGACTACCTCTACGCCCGGCTTCTTAACCTCCTTCAGGAGGACGTCACTGATTGGACGAAGAGCGGAAGGACTCAGTCCGACTCCGCCCCCGTCCGAGGCCACCTCCTTTCCCTGCTGTACTGCGACGTTTGGGGAGGGGGCGGGGCACTGGTCTCGGTCTGGAACAGCGCGGCGTTTTGGGGTTTGGCTGGGGGGAAAGGGCGGGGTCTCAAGGAAAGGGAAGGAGCTGTGAACTAAGAGAAGCACTGGCGCAGCTAGACTTTTCAGAAATTACAACAGCAGCAACCAAAATGGAGGCGTAACAGTCGATCCTAATTCAGCTGGAAATCTAACCAGGTTTCCTGACATAATGAAAGTTCATTACATTGCTGTTCATAGGTGTGGGAGAAGAAAAACTAGCAGACGGAAGAAGGGACGTTTGCCCCTCCTGATTGCGCACTATACCTTGCCTTCTACCCACCCACTGCAGTCAATCCCCTCCCCCGCCCCCCATTTCTGATTATACTGGGAGAGGGGTGGGGTACAGGGAGGCTTTTCCTCTTTATAGCCAAGGCTTGACCAGAGCTTCCCACATTGCATCTTGAGGCTGATCGGTTGTCAAGCTGGGAAGTAACAGCTCCCATCACATGCAACCAAAATAAATATAACAGCTGTAGTTCCTGGACACCTTGCTTAATTTAAACCCGGTAACAGTTTAGTTACTTAATGTCAGTAATGCAAAATTGTTTTTTCGTTCTGCACATGTCCTCTTTTTCATCCTGAATATGCCTGCTTCTCTGATTACAGACCCACTCTACTCTCATCTCATGCCCCAGCCCCCCTCCCCCAATGCCTGGTGACCGCGATATATTTATCGTCCCCTCCGCCATTAATTAAGACCCCCAGTTATTGTGCTGTCCCCTGGCAACGGGAAATTCTACTGCCAACGAACTCTGACTAACTTAATTTTTTTGCTATTGATGGAACCAAACTATTCAAAATTTACTCTAGAAATCTAGATTATGAGAATTTGCTAGACACTTTGTATAAACCGCGTCTAACTATCACCCAGCCCCTGTAGTACATTTCTTACGGGGTGGGGGGAGGAACCCAGTTTCTACTTGATATTTCTCTACCTTGACAAGTGTTGCTCTAGAAGTTGTGACTTTCTTTGCATCCAAGACCCTCCCTCTTTGAAAGAGAATTCGTACTTTTCTCGCATGTTTCTAACTTCCCATTAGAATATTGCTAAGACTGGGTGCATTAACCTGGTGCAGCTCCTGGATGGTGCAAACGGTTAACCGCTTCAAAAACGTTGGCACTTCAAACCCATCCAGAGGCAACTCGAAAGACAGGCCTGGAGATCTGCATCCCAAAGGCCACAGACTTGAAAATCCTATGGAGTTGTCTACCCTGCACACATGGGGTTACCGTGAGTCAGAATCAGCAGCTAACAACAACTACAGCAACAACCTGTTGGTGGCGACTTCCCCAAATTTCAATCTCTTTCATGCCATATCTGTGTATACTATCTGCAGAAATTATTACTTTTCTTTAAACAAATTTATTTTTGCTCACATTTTTTAAGAGGAAAGCTTTATGAAAGTACTGTCAAAGGAAAACTAGCATCACTATCCTAAGCTGAAAGTAACTAAACAGAAAAAAATGTTTTTAAATTATGGCTGAAAACCATTGCGTTCTAAAGGTTCTAGAAGCGCACTCGCTTTATTAAAAGGAGAGGTTACCAAGCATTAGACGTATGTTAAACACACAGCACTTAAATGACATTTTCATCAGAATGTAATCAAAACAATAGAAGCAAAATAGGAATCACTTTCTCGCTAAGTGAGTTATTGTTTTTAATCTTGTATGTGTGTCCCAAATAAAGTCATCCGAGGCATCATAAGTGATCTGTTACTTTTTGGGAAACAGTACTGTGGAGGCTTACAAGCAATGAACGCTGGGATCAAGCAGGTCATATTCTCATACTACTTCCTGTATGTATAGCTCTGTGCCTCTGGTTACTTACCTCTCAAACTCAATTTCTTATTAAATATGGGGAAAGTAGTAATGCTTACTTATGGGCTTTTTATATAGATTAAACAATCTAATCTATGTAAAGCAAATCATGCTTACCTATTGCCATCCAGTCAATTCCAACTCATAGCGACCAGTAGGACAGAGTAGAACTGCCCCATAGGGTTTCCAAGGCTGTAAACTTTACAAAGCTGACTACCACATCTTTCTCCTGTAAAGTGGCTGGTGGATTCCAACTGCCGACCTTTTGATTAGCAGCCAAGCTCTTAACTACGCCCCACCAGGGCTCCATATTGTGATTAGTATATAGTAAATATTAAATACGCATTGTTGTTGTTGTTAGGTGCTGTTGAATCAGTCCCCACTCATAGCGACCCTATGTACAACAGAACGAAACATGGCCCTGTCCTGTGCCATCCTCACAATCATTGTTATGCTTGAGCCCATTGTTGCAGCCACTATGTCAATCCATCTCATCGAGGGTCTCCTCTTTTTCACTGACCCTCTACTTTACCAAGTGTGATGTCCTTCTCCAGGGACTGGTCCCTCCTGATAACACGTCCAAACCAAAGTACTTGAGACAAAGTCTCACCATTCTCCCTTCCAAGCAGCAATCTGGCTGTACATATTCCAACACAGATTTGTTCATTCTTCTGGCAGTCCATGCTATATTCAATATTCTTCGCCAACACCATAATTCAAAGGCATAAATTCTTCTTCGGTCTTTCTTATTCATTGTTCAGCTTTTGTAAGCATATGAGGTGATTGAAAATATCATGGCCTAGGTCAGGTGCAGCTTAGCCCTCAAAGTGACGTCTTTGCTTTGTAACATATTAACGAGGTCTTTTCAGCAGATTTGCCCAATGCAATATGTCGTTTGAGCCCTGGTGGCATAGTGGTTAAGAGCTTGGCTACTAACCAAAAGGTCGGCAATTCAAATCCACCAACACTCTTTGGAAACCCTATGGGGCAGTTCTACTTTGTCCTAGAGGGTCGCTATGAGTTGGAACCGACTCAACATTTGGCACCTAAAACAACAACGCACACATGGACCTCACCAGATAGAAAACACAGGAGTCAAATTGACTACATGTGTGTGAAGAGACGATGGAAAAGCTCAATATCATCAGTCAAAACAAGGTCAGGGGCCGACTACGGAACAGACCATCAATTGCTCATAAGCAAGTTCAAGCTGAAACTGAAGAAAATTAAAACAAGTCCAAGAGAGCCAAAGTACAACCTTGAGTATATCCCACCTGAATTTGGAGACCATATCAAGAATAGATTTGATGCACTGAACACTAATGACCAAAGACCAAACGAGTTGGGGGAAGACATCAAGGATATCATACATGAAGAAAGCAAAAGTTCATTAAAAAGACAGGAAAGAAAGAAAAGACCAAAATGGATGTCAGAAGAGACTCTGAAACTTGCTCTTGAATGTAGACTAGCTAAAGTGAATGAAAGAAACAATGAAGTAAAAAAACTGAACAGAAGATTTCAAAGGGCAGCTTGAGAAGACAAAGTAAAATATTATAATGAAATGTGCAAAGCTCTGGAGATAGAAAACCAAAAGGAAAGAACATGCTCAGCATTTCTCAAGCTGAAAGAACGGAAGGAAAAATCCAAGCCTCGAGTTGCAACAGTGAAGGAGTCTATGGGCAAAATATTGAATGATGTAGGAAGAATCAAAAGTAGATGGAAGGAATACACAGAGTAACTGTACCAAAAAGAATTGGTCAATATTCAACCATTTCAGGAGGCGGCATACAATCAAGAACTTATGGTACTGAAGGAAGAAGTCCAAGCTGCATGAAGGCATTGGCAAAAATTCCAGGAATTGACAGAATACCAATTGAGATGTTTCAATAGATGGATGCAGTGCTGGAGGCACTCATCTATGCCAAGAAATCTGGAAGACAGCTACCTGGCCAACCAACTGGAAGAGATTCATATTTGTGCCCATGCCAAAGAAAGGTGATCCAACAGAATCCAGAAATTATCAAACAGTATCATTAATATCACATGCACGTAAAATTTTGCTGAAGATCATTCAAAAACGATTGCAGCAATACATAAACAGGAAACTTCGAGAAATTCAAGCTGGATTCAGAAGAGGACATGAAACGAGGAATATCATTGCTGATGTCAGATGGATCTTGACTGAAAACAGAGAATACCAGAAAGATGTTGCCTTTTATGTTGTTGAAAAAGTTATTAGCAATGAAGAAGTTGTTGGTCTTCAAAAATTCTACCATGCGCTATGGGGACCATGGTCTCAAGGAATTTCTAGCTCAATTGGCATAACATAGTTTATAAAGAAAATGTTCTACATTCTACTTTGATGAGTAGCATCTGGGGTCTTAAAAGCTTGTGAGCTGCCATCTAAGATACTCCACTGGTCTCACCCCATTGGGAGCAAGGGAGAATGAAGAAAACCAAAGACACAAGGGAACGATTAGTCAAAAAGACTAAAGGACCACAACTACCACAGCTTCCACCAGACTGAGTCCAGCACAACTAGATGGTGCCCAGCTACCACCACTGACTGCTCTGACAGGGATCACAATAGAAGGTCCTGGACAGAGGTGGAGAAAAATGTGCAACAAAATTCTAACTCACAAAAAAGACCAGACTTCCTGGCCTGACGGAGACTGGAGAAACCCTGAGAGTATGGCCCCCAGATACCCTTTTAGCTCAGTAATGAAGTCACCCCTGAGGGTCACCCTTCAGCCGATGAT